AAAAAAACTAAATTAATGATACAACTACAAACAGGCTAATATTTTTGATGCTGATGTGATGACTAACAATTAATAATAAAATAATAATTATAATATAGATAAGTACCATAAAAATGACTACCGGGTAACTCATTGTTGCTCATTTTCCTTTAGTCAAAGATACTATTACAAAAATATAGTGAAGATAATGAATACAATAAACAGTAGGCACGTTTTAACTTATCAATATTTGTCAAGGCCTCAATTTTGTGGATAACAACAAATAGCGAATAATTTTAAAATAAATAACAATCAAATATGTAAAATAGAATGTAGCATCATTACCAGTAAAATACTTAATAAGTACATATTAATTATTACAAAATAAAACCAATCTATTGAGCTAGTGACTGGAACATTGCTTTGACCTCTTGTGGGTTTACTAGCGTTATTGTGTTTAACTGTTTTCTAAATATAAATTATAAGTAAATTGAAGGAAATAACGGATGAAATGTTTTCAATTTAGAAATCGAAGTCATTTTGTTTTTGATATAGATAGATAAACACTTTATTGCTCACGCACAAGAACAAAAATAGTACATAAACAATTTAAAAGTAATGTGGGCAAAGGCGGTTTTATCTCTAAGAGCGATCTCTGCCAGACAACCTTTGAGATAGTGGAAGATAATCGAAGCGGGAGACGTAGTGTGCCAATTTTACAAATAAAAATTGATTGTATAAATAAAAAATAAAATTTTAAAAATCATAGTCATTTATAGATAGATAGATAAACACTTTATTCACTGATATAACACAAACACAGATTAAGCATAAAAGAAAAAACAAAACATCATTGTCATAGCAGTGAAACGGCGCTGACTCAGCATATGCCAAAGTTTCCTAAGGCGCTGGTTTTCAGTCAGAACCAACGAGAGGGATTAAGTTATTAGAAAGCAAAAATATAACGACTATGAGTAAAGTTATACATTGACAATAATAATATACATAGTAAAGTGTAAATAGTGCATCTAAAATAACCTGTTTGACATGTAAGTGCATGAGCAAATGTGAATATAATTACAGCTGTAGGTGTGAGTTATGACCGTAAAGAGGATTTAATGTTGTGTAATGTAATTAGTATTATAATATAATTATACACATAATAAGAATAGATCAAAGCAACAACAAAATTCGATTCTAGACAGACTACGTTAAAGAATAAAAACACTACACAGATTTTTGAAGTGAGAGTAGGTGTTGCCGGTACAGTGCTTTGAATTTGGGTTTGGATGTCTCGTTGCGTATAGGTGGTGGAATATTATTCCAGCACTTTGAGGCCGAGTATTTGAAACTACCTCGAAAAGCTGTAGTTCTATGTTGTGGTACCATAAGAACACATGATCGGACAGATTGCTCTCTGTAGCGTACATTAACACTAGATGACCACATTCGTTTTTCATAAAGATATTCAGGTGTTCTAGTTTTTACTATATCGAATAAAAGTCCTGTATACAGGAGATTTAGACGAGCACCGATAATTAGTAGATTTGCAGCGTTGAGATTAGGAGTGACATGAATACGAGGGGGTATAAAAAAAACAAAATCTGGCACATGCATTTTGGACACGCTGCAGAAGTTTGTGTGTTTTAGACAAAAGGCATGGACCATACGACGTGATACAATAGTTGATCTTAGATAATATCAATGCTTCACATAGAGAAATACGCAAATCAACACTGAGAAACGGTCGAATACCGTAGATCACTTTTAACCTATAGAAGCAACTGCGAACAAGTTCGGCCACATGAGTGTCAAATTTAAGATGACCGTCCATAATTATATCCAAATTTCGGGCCTCCGCTACCTGAGCAATCTTCTCACCATTAATTGAAAGAACTGGCGCATGAGACTGGATGTTTCTCACTTGTTTACAAGATCCTAGAATCAAAAGCTGAGATTTAATTGGATTCAAGACCAAAGCATTGTTCCTGGACCAAATAGATAAGCGGTGTAGATCCTCATTAATGAGGCTGGTACTTTCGGCGGTTCTATCTGGTTCGAAAGACCGATGTAACTGAACATCATCCGCATAGAGGTGATACTTGTAGTTTTTAATGCAGCCCGTGATATCTGAAGTGTAAAGTACAAATAGCAACGGCCCCAATATAGAGCCTTGTGGCACGCCCCTGTCAACAGCACTCAGATCCGACACCAGGCAAGCACCATTGGATTTCGACAATTTTACTTGTTGCGTGCGGTTAGTAAGGTAACTTCTGAACCATTCCAAAGCCGATGAGTCGCAACCGTAGTATTTTAATTTTGAAATAAGTAAAGGAATATTAATTGACTCGAAGGCTCTGGAAAAGTCCAAAAGTACCAGAGCAGTTCCCTTGCCAGAATCTTGAGCACTGAGAACTTCGTCTATGACGTCATGTAAGGTAGTATTTGTACTGCGCCCCTTCCTGAAACCGGACTGCATCACAGGCAGGATATTGTTTGCCTCTAAGAATTTTGATAACTGCAAGTACACGATCTTTTCTAAAATGTTTGAAAGATAGGGCAAAATGCTTATGGGACGTAAATCTTTCACACTTTCTGGACTATTTTTCTTGGGAATGGGAGTTATTATTGCTGTTTTCCAAAGTGAGGGGAAATTCGAAGTAATAATTGACGAATTAACAATATCAGTAATCACATTAAGAGTATGAGGGAGAGTTAACAGTACCATGTCCGCGCTAATGCCATCCGATCCCAATGCATTGGATTTCAATCCAAGAACCATTTATCAAATATTTCATAAATAACGATGTATTATACCTACATAAATATATGTATGTATAAATATACCTGAATAAATTAAACCTAACCTAAATATATTTAGCTTTATAGACACAAGTTTTAACCCAACTGTTAACCAGAATAACCAGTAACTAATTTGCTCTGCTGTGTTTACGGTCGTTGTACCTCAAAGCCACCGCGTCTCGGAATGCTATCATTTTAAATAAATAAATGTACATAAACGTAAAATGAGGTAGGTATATACTAATCACTTGTCATTTCGGGAAAACATTGGGATAATTTCTGGCACTATTACATGTTGTTACTACCAGTTGTAAGTTTTGATTAAGAAACACATGCGATAATACACAACGTAATAGGCACCTACTAGAAATAAAGATAAATGAATCATGCCTCAATTCGTTCAAAAGGTTTGGGACAAGGAATTACATATTTCAATAAAATACCGACCGAAATTTCAAACATGAAACGGTAAACATACCGTTTTATAAGTTTAAGGCATTTATGTGAAAAATAAAGTTCTAGGCGAAAGGGTCTACACTGTTAGTACCTAAGTACATAAAACGATACAAATGCGTGGAGTTAAACCTAATTACCATTTAGTATGAATTGTTTTATTTATTTGATTTTGTAACGTCTTGTGTGATTTTGACTATGCAAATTAAAGTGCTTGTGAGGTCAGGCTTCTCTTTGAATTAAACTTTATTATTAATTTTCGGCAAGTTGCACTTGTTCACGTTATGCATTGCAAACAGCTTGGTACCTACTAAACGACACTTGAAAAAATGCGTCATTTACCAAGGTATTATAAATATTTATTATAATTGTAAATATTTGCTGCACGTCTTGGCTTTCCAAGGACTCTTTGCCAAGCATACCCAATGGTAATTAACTACGATAAACGACAATGCCGAAAGGTCAAAAGTGCTGTAAAAATTACACAGCAGGATGTTTTTTTATCACCATCACCAAATTTTAAACTTATGCTTTTTGGTGAAAAAATAAAATACGTATCGAGTTCTTAGGTTTTCGCGATTGTTACGCATAGGAAATAAAACTATTTTTCCGGTTTTGAGATGACATGGTGCTTTTGAGCCTATCTATCGACGCTCTGCGCAGGCTGCTAAAGCTTTATGAGTTTTATGCGGTGGCTCATGGGCTCAGATACAATGCGCTGAAGAGGGAGAGCATGGTATTTAAAGCAGGTACTAAAACGTATACCGTAGTGCCTTCCATCGATCTAGGCGGTATTCCTCTAAAACAGACAAAACAATTTAAGTATCTGGGTCACCGGGTCACCGAGGACGTATGCGATAATGCCGATGTGGAAAGAGAGCGCAGCGCGCTGGCTGTCCGTTGCAATATGTTGGCTCGCAGGTTTGCACAATGTACAGATTAAGTAAAGGTAACGCTTTTTAAAGCACGTTCCCAATCTTTTTACACGTGCAGCCTGTGGGTCAGTTACACGCGGCGGACATACGGAGCACTGCGCATCCAGTGCAACAATGCGTTCAGGATGCTGTTCCGACTTCCACCTTTCAGTAGCGCGTCAACCATGTTTGCTGAGAAACATGTAGACGATTTCTACGCTATCATGCGGAAGCGTAGTGCATCGCTACTCCGTCGCATGCGTCTCAGTACAAACAGCATTCTGAGCACATTGGTGGAAAGGTCGGAGTCTGAGATTGGAGTCCTCAATGCTGGGGCAGTGGATGCGCTTGCAACTGCTGCCAATGCGTAGCTAGTTGTCCTGACATTGGCTGGGTACGTTATGTTCCCATCTTTATATCTATAATTTTGTTTTATTTTATTATTTTAAACCAAACGCTAGCTTAAGTATTTTTCTTTACTTACAAATATTTTGGATGAATATGTCTGAAACTTACATACCTGCATAGTACCTAATAGACTGCGAGGGTAAAGGTGCTTACAGTCGATAAAAATGTGACAACGAGTATGGCACCGCAGGCCAGTACTGCATGCCGGCGGAAGGCGTGCCGCTGTCGGCGCGCGCGGCGCTGCTGACGCGCGAAGAACTGGCGCGGCTGGTGCGCGTGTTCGCGGCGCTCGGCGTTGTCAAGCTGCGCCTCACCGGCGGCGAGCCCACGCTGCGGGCGGACCTCGCCGACGTCATACGTAAGCCTTCTCGGCGGGCGAGCTCGCCTGTTCGTTGCCGTCCGGCCCCATTCGACTGTCTAACGGGGGTTTGGCCCTACATCGCCAGAGGAGCTGCGCGAGGTGCCGGGCATCGAGTGGGTCGCCATGACGACCAACGGCCTGGTGCTGACGCGACGGCTGCCGGCCTACCAGCGCGCCGGCCTCGACGCGCTCAACATCTCGCTCGACTCGTTGCAGCCGGAACGCTACGAGAAGATGGCGCGGCGGCCAGTGGGTAGCTTTTCCGTTCACGCAGCTTCACCACACTTTACTTGTTACGTTCCAGTAGAGCTTTGGAGAAAAATGTTTCCGTGTTGGTAATGGTGGCGTCCAAAAAATTTACGACATGTTTACCCGTGGTAAAGTGATATCTACCCGAAGTCCCTATTATTCGGAATTAATTATAAAATTCCGCCGTGACGCCAAAAGGTACAGGCATTTTTAAGGATTGTGCTCACGTTTGTATTTGTTATTCCACCGCGCGTTCGTCCCCGTTAGGCCTTCTCGTGTGACCTCGACACGATAACCGAAGGAGGTGGAACGACGTTGATAAAAAAAACAAATTACAGGGTCTAAAAAAGGTGCTGGCGGGCGTGGACCTCGCGCTGCAGCTGGGCTACCGTCCTGTCAAAATCAACGTCGTGCTTATGAAAGGTAAGCGTGAGCACGCGCTTCGAGCACCGATTCGCGCGTAACACGCCTTACATGACCGTCGAACGCCGCAGGTTTCAACGACGACGAGATAGGGGACTTCGTGGAGTACACGCGCTCGCGGGAAGTCGAGGTCCGCTTCATCGAGTTCATGCCGTTCAGCGGCAACCGCTGGGACGACTCGAGGATGGTGGCGCACGTGGACGCCGTGCGGGCGCTGCTGGCGTGCTGCCCCGACGCGGCGCCGGCGCTGCCGCGGCCGCACGACACGGCGCGGGTGAGGCCGAACTGACGCGCGCGAGGCGGCCGCGCGCGAGGCCCCGGGCTAACAGCGGCGCTCTCTGTGGCCGCAGGTGTGGCAGGTGCCGGGCCACCTGGGCAGCGTGGGCTTCATCTCGTCGATGACCAAAAACTTCTGCTCCACCTGCAATCGCCTGCGGCTCACCGCCGACGGGAACTTGAAGGTACGTTCAGTAAGGGTTTTCGTTCAAATCCTTACGCGGCAACGTCTGGCACTCCGCAAGGATCTCATCCGGGTCCTTACCTTTTCATACTGTTTATCAACGATATCTATACGTGTTTTCTCGATTCAAAAATATATTTGTTTGCCGACGATCTTAAGGCCATAAAGTCTATTCAAGACTTAGCCGACTCTGCCCTTTTTCAGGATGATCTCAATAGACTTTCAAGTTGGTGCAAAAGGAACAGGATGGCTTTAAACATTAAGAAATGGAATCACGTTAAATTTACTAGAAACAAAAACATACCTACCAAATATATAATTAATGGTAGAACCTCTTGAAGAATTGGATGGTATACGTGATCTAGGAGTTTACTTTGATAAAAAGATTAAGTTTGATAAACATATAGACAATATTGTTGCAAAGGCTTCAAGAATGCTCGGATTTGTATTAAGAGAATGTAAGAACTTTAAAAAACCAACAGTTAAACTTCTAACGTACAACTATTTGGTTAGGAGTCACTTTGAGTATTGCAGCGTAGTCTGGTCACCGTTTTAGAAAAGATTCATGTATCACTTAACCTACAGCTGCAATATGGCCATGAAAATCAACTCATATACAGATCGTTTAAACCATTTTGGGTTTACTACACATGAAACAAGACGCAAAATGTACGACTTAGTTTTTTTGAAGAAATTAGTCACTGGGGTTTTTAATTGTCCAGATTTATTAAGTAAATTTCAGTTCACCTCAGAGAAATCATAATAGGAAGTTGTTTTGCATTCCAAAACATCATACTAAACTCCGATTGCACTGTCCCTTTTATCATGCATTTAAACATACTTATCGCAGTCGATTTCTCCTCGCCTTTTTCCAATATTCACATGGCTTCTAATCACACAAGTTGTTGTATGTATGAGTACAAAGTGAGACAGGTAAAGAAACACAGGAAGTTGGCTCGTGTCTATTATGGCATATTAATAACGAATTGGTGGTGGGCATCGAAGACCTTATACTATGGAATGATTCACGAGAAGATCAAAATAGGAACAATAAATTGGTATTGATTTTTTTTTTATAATATCAAGTGACGGGACGAGCAAGTCGTGCGCCTGATGGTAAGCTGCACGCCTGTCCATAACAGTTGCAGTGCCACTCAAGAGCTTTAATTCTGAGGGGCACTGCCACAGCGCCCGTCACCCTGAGACATAAGTTGACAAGTCCCATGTGCCTGTAATTTCACCAGCACCCTTACCCTCCAAAAACGGAACACAGTAGAGTAGTGCTAAAAGTGGCTTTGGACACCGTCCTTAAAAACGATTCACTGTCGCTATTTGGTACCTGGGCATAAATTTTTGCCAATGATACAGATTTTTGAAAAATTGAAGTAGCCTCGAAACACGTCTGTGTCTTTACACAATCGAAGAATTATGTACATTACGAAGACATGTACAAAAGTAAACCCATTAAAAGTAATGCGAATGAAATCAGAGTTCTTGGGAACTGTAGATACAAATAAAAAAGGGTATAATGAATCGAAAAGTGTTCGAAAATAAGGATTCTAGTTAATTAAAACCCAAATTAATAAAGCAGAGAAAAACAAATTAATAAAAGTGTCGAAATAACATTACTTGCGGCGGCGAATGTCGGAAAATCTCTTGAACCTTTAGGATAAATAAATAAGTCAAGTTTTTTTTAACAAAATAATTCTTGAAGCAACTAGTCTTCGATTTAGTGAGAAAAAATAAAGAAAAAGAATTTTTAAATATATTTTAATGCACCCGAATAATGTAAAAAAATTGCATTTTTCGCGAAAAATTTACCTAGATTTTTACATGTATGCAATTTTTATTACGCAGAAAATGATAAAGTTATGTTGGAATGTAGTGTTATTATAGTTTAAAATATAGGACAATTAACCGAGAATTCTTAAAATTCTTAAAAATGCAATTATATTCATTTAATTAAAATAAAACAATTAATATACACTTTTTGCATACTTTGGATCATTTTTGCAGAATGGAAAATAATCGCAAGTTACTTTGCCATATAAAATTAAAATGATTCAAATCCTATTTTTTTTTAAACTACCTTAAAAATTAATTTACGAAATGTTTGATAATTGATGTGAAAATGTATAGAGTAAACTTTCATTTGACGAAAAACAAAATGAAGATCGGTTGAGAATTCTAGCAGCAATTAAAATTTTTAACTTTCGAAAACTTTACTTACCAATTGTGACTTGGATCTTTTTATTATAACTACGTTCAATTATGGAAGAGTACTCCTTATTTGTTACACCTCAAAATGGGTATTTTTGTACTTAGTAATTCCAGTGATCGGAATAGGGTGTTCCAAATGATCAGATACATGTTTACATGCAGATGCATGTGTGGATAAAACCGCCAAATATTATAATTACTTTTTTAAATTTTTCATTTCCGGAAATAGTTTTACTTTTAGACCTTTCACCAAAGTAAACATTTTTTAAATAAGCTACAAGCAATAGCTTCCTTTAACTAATGCGGATATTGTAGATCTTGTTATTAACCTACAGTGTGGTAAAACAACTTCCGGAAGTCGAAAAAAGTAATGAATTAACATTTGTTGATTTTAACCGCTCCATGTCACTCCTTGTATCTTTACAATCTATACATAGACATTTATTATCCCCTATACCGACCATTGGTAATTTACCTGTGTAATACCTGTATAGTTAGCGAAATATTATTTGCACCTGCTTCTTCTTTGCTTCTTACAATGGGACAAAAGATGAACTGTCTCGGTAACACAAGTGCTATCTGTATAATGCAAACAACTAGTTTAAATACTTTTTAATACAGTTGCTCAAAACGTGGTATTTTTCGCACTACAAATCGTGCGGAAAATTGGATTTCTCGCACTAGTGCTTTTTACTTTTCCAGTTTTTTTTAAATTTACTGTTGTTTTAAGTCTTAAACATAGAACAAAAGAGATTGTATATTTATTTCATATTTATGTGCTTTGTGACGTAAGTCATTCGTCATTACTATACTATATCTATGGAGAGACCGCATTTTTACACCTATGAACATTGACTTACAAATAAATGGACGACGGGTCTAATACAAAAACCACGAAAAAAATGTCCCAAGTCAACCTATTCGAAAATTAAATTGTAATGTCATCGCAGTATCGCGCTGTCAGTAGAACAAATGAAGACTAAAGCGGAGTGTCGCGCTCTGTATACGATTTTAGCGCCTTACAAGTGCGGACACTTTTTAGCGCGGACCCGACGTCCATATAATTGTAAGTCAATGCCTATGAAGTAGCGATTATGTAGAAAATAAAGTAATATAAAATAGTAATTTTAATGTGGCTGAATACCTGGCAACAGTTGCCATATTGAAAAAAGTCTGCTAAAAAAAGTACTAATTTTTTTCATCGTTTACATTCCCGCCTTTTTCATTAACTTTTTTACGATTTGATTTTGTTATTGACAAAGGAATAAAATGAGGTTTTTTTAAATACTGTTTTATTTTACTTTCAATGTAGGTTTTTCGCAAATGTATTAAAAAACGTTGTTTGATACACATGCGGATTTGTCATTTTCACTTGTCTCGATGCCTCGAGACTCGTGAATAATGACTAACTTTCCGCACTTGTATCAAAAATAACTATTAACATTCCTGGCAATAAATAACGTGTCTAATTGGACTTGCAACTGCAGGTGTGTTTGTTCGGCGCGGCGGAAGTGTCGCTGCGCGACGCCCTGCGCCAGGGCGCCACGGACCACCAGCTTGAGGACCTGATCCGAGCTGCACTCATGAATAAGAAGCCACAACATGCAGGTATGTTTTTTTACTAAATTTGCATTGCTTGTTATTAGATATTTACTTGTGCGTACTGGACATATCGTGTATTTTTTTAACTTGATCAGTATAGAGATATTTGAAACCAAGAAGATACTGAAAAACTGTCGTAAGAACCGTTAAGTCTTTTTTGTGAAAACTGTTATGACATAATCAATATTTTTGGCCAAGCATTAGTTCTCCATAGAAGTCAGTAATATTGAATTTTTTTTTTCTAAAGGTGTAGAACTCGGTTTTTTATTATGATTTCATTGTACTGGAAGAAATAAACCCGGACGGCAGAGGTAGTGATCTACCTCTGCCGTCCGGGTTAATTTAATTCTTTTCATAAAATAGGAGAGTACTCAATAAATGTACTGTATACATTGTACTCGAAACAAAAACATTTTAGTGGAAATTCTAAAAGTTTTTGCATCCATGTTTACGTATTTAAGACCATTGTTTTGTACAGATTTATGAATTTGTTTTTGAATTAAATTTTAAAACAGAAATATTCAAAATTAGAATGACGCCACCACGTTCACCCGTTAAGACGTCAATGGATTTTTTTTTAATGGAGGTTATCTTAAGGGTCAAGTGTCGATACAACACCAAACAGGAGTTCAGACGCTTTTAATTTCCATCGAAACAACATACTGTTAGGAATTTTTGAACCGATTTTGATGATTGTTTTTTTGTTGCAAAGAGAGTAGGCACCTCAGCAGTGGTTCCATTTAAATTTGAAGAAAGTATTCCACCTCTAAGAGTGGCTAATTAGGGGATGAATGACTTTGAGATCGGGTTTTTTAGTACTGTACTAGATTGTATTTTTTACGGACAATACGCTTCATCAAAAAATTGACTACGCCAAAAAAGACGTAACGGTTCCTAAGAAAGTTTCCTTGTCTTCCTGGTACCGTGCCAGTAAAAAAACCTGTGTTCCCCCGTTCGTAGCAATTCTCTAAACCGTGCTGTATTCACTAGGCATGCGGGATCTCGCTCAAATGGAGAACCGGCCGATGATTCTAATAGGCGGGTAGGCCCGCCGCCGGCGCCGCCTCCTCTGTACCGCTCTGGCCTCCACAGCACGGCCGCCGGCGCCGCGCGCCCCGCGGGCCGTGGCCAGCCGCGGCTTCTGCTCGCGGCCGCCGCAGCCGCCGCAGCCGCCGCAGCTGACGCACCTGGACGCCGAGGGCCGCGCGCGCATGGTGGACGTGGGCGCCAAGGCCGTGACGCGGCGGCGCGCCGTGGCCGCCTGCAGCCTGCGCGTGGGCGCGCCGCTGCTGCGGCTGCTGCGCGACGCGCGCCTGCCCAAGGGCGACGCGCTGCAGGCGGCGCGGCTGGCCGGCGTCATGGCGGCCAAGCGCGCGGCCGACCTCATCCCGCTGTGCCACCCGCTGCCGCTGGACGCCGTGGAGGTGCGCGTGGCGCTGCCGGCCGGCGACTGCCCGCGCGGCGGCGACGTGGCCGTGCGCTGCGAGGTGGCCGCCACGGCCCGCACGGGCGCCGAGATGGAGGCGCTGACGGGCGCCGCCGTGGCCGCGCTGGCGCTCTACGACATGTGCAAGGCCGTGGACAAGGGCATGCGCCTCACCGACCTGCGCCTCGTCAGCAAGTCGGGCGGCCGCTCGGGCGACTGGCCGCCGCCGCCGCCCGACGTCCGGCTACGCGCGCACGACACGTCGCCGCTGCAGCCCGACGAGACCTACGCCCCCACCATCGCGCACGTCTAGCCCGCCGCGGCCCTCGTCCAAAAGAGCGATGCGACTGCGGCGCTGTAGAGCACGGAGGAGGCGTGCCCTGCTGAATCTTTATTATACGTTGAGAATGCTGCACTGTAGCAATAATTATTACCTTCCGACTTTGTGTTTAGAGGTTATTATTGTCACTTCAAAAGTAACAAACGTTGTAGCCATAGTAATAATATTGTAACAATATGGTGACTGCGAGAGCTTGGAGGTCACAATCAAATTATTCCATTTATTTCTAGTTATAACTTTAAAAAAGTGCTGTACTATAAGTAAAAATAAATATACATATAAGAATTACCTATTTTGAATATATTTTTTATTTAAAAGTTATAATTTTCCAATAGTAATATAACCTTTTGTAATTTTTTTATTGTTAATAATTTTAACAAAATGTATTTAGTTAAGTTTTGACAAGAAATAGTTATTTATATGAAAAATAAATATTTTGATATCTTTCTCACTTTTTATTATCTTGTATCAAATTTTATAAGATAGGTTAAAAGAAATCTTATTCTAGTTGAAAAATACAAAATGTTGAATTCGAATAACACAAATGTGACTGGATAAAACAAACAATAATAACAATAGTTTTTAGTTAATAGGTATGCAAATTAGCCTGCTGGATAAATCATCAAAATATATATTATGTATTTAAATTACTTTTGTGAATATCTATAGAAATGCCATAACTCACTGTATCACTCAGCTGTCCAATAAATCAAACTGATACATTTGGACACAAAACGAAATAAATGAAGCAGTTGTAATTTGTTTCCCTGTTCGGTCTTGAAACCTAGCATGTAAGTGGGGTCAGCCACTGGCTACTAAGACATTCGATTTTGCTGCGGGTTGCTCAGTCGCAGTCTCCGTCGGCCGGTCAGCACGCTGTACTCGAATGTCGTGCAACTCGATGTAATCGTTGATCTCCTGACCCTTCTTCGTTAGTTGTTCCTGCAGTGCCTGTATTGCTTTGGGCAGTCGCTCGCGGTTACTCTCTAGCTCCGGCAGTACGTCTGCGACTGTCCGCTCCACGAGAACTCCACCAATCATGCGGAAACACTTCCTTGTGCCATCGACATCCTTTAGAGTTTCTATCACTATTCTGTAATGAAGTGTGGACGTATATTACTAACGTGCGCTTTAAACATACATCACCAATGAAAAGAAGATATTTCGACTTACTTATGTTCATTGAGATCCATTTCTAATTCTGAAATTTTGTTTGCTAGTTGTCTTTGTTCAGCTCGGAGATTTTGAAAACCCTGAAAAACCTCTTCATTGGATTTTTTACAACCCTTCGCAGCGGGTTTCGACATGGTAACTAGTTGTTTTTTAACGACGTTATTAAAGAACTTCAATTAGTTTCAAGTGAAATAACAAGGATATTCAAATAAAATTCAAAAAATCCAACAGATGAGCAAGCGAATTGAGGTTAGAATTATGAATATATTTGAATCTCATATTCTGTCTGTGGTAGCGAATAGCGATGGGCGAGTCGAGTTATTTAACTCGAGCTAAATCGGCTCGGTACTCGCCCCGCCGCCGACCCGAATACTTCATTAATACTAGAGGTGGGTGATAAATAACGTCACGATGATCTGCCGTCAAACAGTATCACCGTGACTCGTTCCGAAGGAACGACGTTCCAAAGTCACATAGGTGTTCCTCCGTTCCAATAGCTATCCCCGTCACTCACATCACGACATAGGTATTTGATACAATGCTGGATCTCCGTTCCGTGGTGACGGAGCGCGCCACTCGTTGTAGTTCTCTTCAAATCGGACCATTTCGGCGATGGGAGTGAATGAAATAGGATGACTTTCTTTGCTCACTCACAAGAGTCGTAGGTGCTTATTACTACTAGAAAGGGCGGATGAAAAAATCTGCAGCAGTTATTATAAACCTATTTATGAACAAAGTAACATATTTTTGTATATTTACACTTGCCTCTGTGGCCAAACGGTTACCATGCCGGACTGCCAAGCAGAGGTCCAAGGTTCGATTCCCGGGCCGGGAGAAATAGTAGTGTGGCTTACAATTATTTCTCTCGTGAGTTTGGGTATAATTTGTGGTTGTCTATGTGTGTGTCCATGGCACCCGCGACGCAGGGTTTCCCTAGTGCGGGAGCTATGATGAGTGTGTGCGTTATTTATTTGTTTTATTATAGGAAGAGTTGGTATTTTATATTTATGTACAATTTACTTTGTGTATTCTACTAGAAATATAATTACATTAAATTTTATTGCTGTTTTTAACAATCCAAAGATTCGCATTAAATAAGTAAAAACAAAATTACATTAAATACAAAATCAACTTTTTGAATGGAATTGAAACTTATTATAAAGGGAGCAAAAACTTAAATCATTCTATAAAATATGGCTATAAGTATTAGAAAGAAGTCGCTGGCTAAAACCGTATATCGTGATGTAAGTTATAGGCGTGACAAGGTCACGGAAGTAACAGTCGTGACCAAATCACGATTATTTATCACTGTGATTTTTTTGGAACCGGAACGACTGTCACGGCGATAGAAATGTAACGCTATTCCCCATGTCTAATTCACACAGCGCAATGCGCAGCAAGTACTCGTTCGGTGACCTTCGGAGCAAGCTCGAGTCGCGAGCGATGGGCGAGTCGAGTTATTTTACTCGAGTTAGTCCCACAACGAGTCAACTCGAGCAAGTTCGGTGCGGCTCCCGCCGAATCGAATACTTCATTCGCAACGCGTCGGCTATTTGTCTCACACCGCGCACCGTCGGTTCGGCGACCTTCGGAGCACGTTCGAGTCGCAGTCGGCTGGCCGATCGTGTCAAACTCGGTGAATCGTCGGTTCGAGTTAGACACCGAGGCGAGTTAACTCGAGTTAGCATTCCCGTCAACTCGAGTAACTCGAGTTGAAAAAAATACAACTTGACTCATCGCTAGTCTGTGGTAGGAGTGCTCGATATGTATCGATATTCAAAAAAAATCGATATATGCCCTCGATATATCGAATTAATCCGATATTATCGTATCACTCGGCATCGATATATGAAAAATCGTACAAAGTTGAAAGTACACAATTCAAAATTGTATTTGCAGAAACAAAACACACTTCCGTCATCCATCAGTGTAACGTAGTGGTTCTGTTCTCATAGGCTAGCCTCACACAAATTATATAGGGTGGCCACAGTGGAGATGAAGTAAAGACGAGAAAATATGATGAATAACTATATTAAATTTCCACAAAGGTATTTCTTAAACTAAATAATTTTAAGAACGTCTGAAGTTAGGTACGTTAGGTCTAAAAGTACTTATACGAAAAAAGATCTTAACTAAAGGAATTTAGTCTACGTCTGATGTTAGGAACGTTGGGCCGAAAAGTGTCTCATAATTATAATTAAATTGACGAGTTTTGCATCGGTCACGTTGCAATGCACGGGGCGCGCGTTCCGGTGCGCGAATGCAAGTGCGTTGAACTAACGTTTTAGGTATGTGTGTTATGCAAATCTGGATACATAACACACACAATAACATCGACAATAATATTGCTCGTGTGCGGGCGATATTCTTGTGTTGGAAACAAACATAAACTTGGATTGTAATATTGTATGTGTGCAGCTAGCCAATGAGAATATAAGAATAAGAAATACATTTGATTGTTGTGTCAATACTGATACTTTTATTTATTTACTCTTAGCATTGACCTACCAACAAATGGTATAAATAATACAAAAACCACGAAAAAAATGTCCGAAGTTAACCTATACAAACGTAGTGACATGTAACGAAATATAAAAAAATCTGAAACATTTCATTTAAATTGTAACGTCATTGCAGTACTGCTTAATTTAGCTTGCAACAATTTAAAGGGCCCAAAAACAACCACATTCTGCTTCTACTGGAAGCTTAACATAATGCACCATATTTAGCTTCGACTGATAATTACTTCAAGACAAGAGTAATGGAGCAGCCTTTATTGTAAATATCAAATAAATAGTAAGGCGAATTTTGTACAAATTCATTTAAAGAAATAATAAAAAGTTGGGCAGATATACAAATATTACAAATGTGAAAATAAGGGTGTACTATAAGAAATGTATTGATATTCCAACTAAACGTAAAGTCAAATATTCGTAATTCCGAAAACCGATTTATAATAAAACCGTTACGCTTTCAAGTAATTTTGATGCTTCTCACAAAGCCAAATATTTGTTCCAAATATTTCAATCGCTTATGGTTCGAACATTGACTTACAAATATATGGACGACGACGGGTCTAATACAAAAACCACGAAAAAAATGTCCCAAGTCAACCTATTCCAAATTTAAATTGTAATGTCATCACAGTATCGCGCTGTCAGTAGAACAAATGAAGAAAAAAAAAATGTCGCGCTCTGTATACGATTTTAGCGCCTTACAAGTGCGGACACTTTTTAGCGCGGACCCGACGTCCATATAATTGTAAGTCAATGGGTTCGAACAATTGAAAATGACTAAGAAGTTTATATAAGCTTCTAGAAATTGGCATAATGAGTCTCTTTCCATCTTTTGTGTAGAAAAAGGACAGTTCGCTATTTGATTATTTTGTTTGCTTTTGTAATTTATATTTACGATTAATTTATATACAAATTAAATACTATATTAATGTACAAAAGAATACTTTTAAATGATAACACAATATATTTGTTTAGTGAAAATAATATACAAAATCCTGTTTTTACACTTTACTGCAGCAATTTTTATAAGTTATTATTATATAGTACTCTATAATTGACAACCGCGCTGTCAGTCGAACTAACGAAGACTGTCTGTTGCGCGTTGACGCTCTGTATGCGATTTTAACGCCCTATAGGTGCGGACACTCTTTAGCGCGAGTCTGACGTCCATTTGTTAGCAGGTCAATGACTGTTAGTAAAATTTCTTTCCTTTTATCTTTTTAAATTATTTACGACATAATATCAAAAATGTAATGAAAATGTAGATGATTTGTACCGATATAACGAAAAATATCGATACGACATTTCGATATATCGCATCGGCAAAAATAACGAGTGAGGTGACTTATGTCGTCGACATCCTTCCAAGTCGGAGCAAAGTTGTGATCATAAACATAAACGCATTTGACGATAAAACGAACGAATGGTGACTGCGTTTTGTTGCCAATGTAGCTAATAATAATTTTATTAAAATATTGCTTTAGAGCATTATAAAGGTTTTATTTAATTTTTCTACATGAGAAGATGTTACAAATTAATCTACCTTTGTTACATCCGTATCAAGAAAAATATTGCATAGAAATGTTAAGTAGATGAAATTGATTTATGTTACATCGTTTAAGTCAGGGAACCCTTTCACTTGATTATGACAGTCTACCTAAGCAACATCAAAACTAAACAGCTAATTTTTTGACAGAAGTGGACAGGCGATAAAATGTTATTTGTTAATTATTTTTTTGTAAATATTTGTTAAATGTGCAATTGTAGAATGTGATCACCATGGGTGGCTGCATCGGAATAACTAGGAGCAGAAGTGGGCCCATAGAGGAATCGTCGGGGACGGTGTCGCGACCAAATTCAGGTGGGTAAAATGGGAGCAGTGTCGCGGTGGTGACGAGTGCGTGGAGCGGATGATGGGCCTCGGACGGGCGTGACCGCAGTGTTTGTTGCAGGTGGGCTACGCAAGAATCAGTCACTGTGCCATGAGACGATCAGGTGGAAGTCTGACGTGCCGCTGACGGAAGGTCAGCTTAGGAGTAAACGGGACGAGTTTTGGGACACTGCGCCGGCGTTCGAGGGCCGCAAGGAGATTTGGGATGCGCTGCGGGCGGCGGCGGTTGCAGCCGAGGCCATGGACTTTGAACTCGCGCAGGCTATTCTGGACGGCGCTAGTGTCTCGGTGCCCAATGGATACCTCACTGAATGCTATGATGAATGGGGAACTAGATATCAGGTAGGTAGTCTAAATATTTGTCCTCCTGTCCAGTATAACAGTTATTTGAACATCTGTCTACGGTAAACATGGACCACCTGCTGAAAAGAACTTGATTATTCTAACAACAAACAAATAAATGCATTGGGCCAGCTTGGTGGGGGAGACCCATACTCGGTAGTGGGATGTATAATGAGTTGACGGCTTAAGTAACTTTTGTGCTGTCCTACTGAAAAGCAAATGCCTCACTATTCTCTTAGGATATACTTTTAAATTAACAGAAACTGTATTTAATATAAAAGTTGCAGCATAACATTTTGACCACATAATGTCATTAGGTCAGCCTACACAGGCTTACCCCAAAGCAAAGTGATCATACTGTATAATGACCTAGTGATTCATGAAGATAAATGGAGTTTAAGGTCTTAAGTCTTTATCGCAATCATGGCTCCATTTATTAAACTAAATATAGTGTTATGCCATACTTCCTTTAAGGATGTGATTTATGATAACAAGCTAGAGCATTGTCCTCGAGATTACTCTGATATTAAAATATCTCAATAAAGAATTGTGTCTAAGTTCAACAACTATTAGGATAAATAATGTTGAAGACATAAACATTTGTATGCAGAAACTTGCCTATAAAAGCCATGCAAGACAGTTATCTGTATTGAATTGTAGGCTTTCAGTTGAGATAAATCTGTAAATCAAATTAACACAGTTGCGAACAATATTAAGTCCTCTTTAACTGAAAAAACAACATTACCTTGTATTTGTATGATTTGCTAACCTTTACATTGTGGACAGGCACCAGCACAACAAGCTATACATTGGTCCATTGCACTGAAGGCGATATTCCAACAATAGTTTGATGAGCTATTGACTATATATCTTGGTGTAGTCAAATAATTTATTTGCATGTTACAGTAAATGAAAAGTAAATTTATAGAAGGGTTTCATAAATTTAGACCAATAAAATAAGCAATTTAAACAATTCCAATGTATACATTAAATTATTTTGAGGATTTAATATAGTTAATTTATTATTCATTCAGTAGTAACAATAATATTTATAAAACTTAAACATTACGCGCATGTTAAGATAAGAGTAAAACTAAATATCTTTATAACATAGATTAAAAATTTTTTTTTATTTTATTTATTTGGGAAACATACATGTCACGAAAATGTCATTTTTTAACAAATATGATACAAACACTATTTTGGCTAGTGTTTGTATTAACGTAAACAAAAAAAAAGTAATATAAACAGTTTCCAGTAATGTTTAAAATAGTTATGTCGAATAGACTAATTTGTACATAGCTATAACCAACTAACATAATAATTACCACTAAGCAACAAGTTATAAATCACTTTTAATTATAACTTAAATTTATTGGATAACATGATGTTCAACCACCATGATATTCAATTATATTATGGGAAATCGCCTCAATGAGTTCGTTATTTTGATTTAACACTAAGAAAAATTCCTATTATCAATTAATAATTATGTTAATAAAATAAAAGCTTCCTAATGGCAGATCTGAACCGGAATGGCTTATTGTCAAATATATTAATTTCTTGATATTCATTATTAAATTGTGTAGAAACCAAGGAATTAATTTTTAAAATAATTAGTGCGACAATAAGGTATTGCAAATGGGCCTCGCGGACGTAGGTTGAGTCTCAGACATTTTAATGAAATTTGGCTTAATAAATAAGTAGAATCAATGTGATTATTAATAACTTTGAAAAGAAAAATTTGATCCCTAAGCTCTCTTCGTTTTTGCAAAGACATAATTTTTGTAGGTTTAAATTTCCAATATTTATACTTCAATCTTTTAACTAATTTATTTTGCACTCTTTCGATCATGTCAACATGTTTATTATAGTTGGGGTTCCAAGCAGTGGATGCGTACTCTAGGTTAGATCTTATAAATGCATTGTTTAACAATATAAGAGTGTTAGAAAACCTAGTAATTGAAAAGCCTTGCTGGTAATTTTTTCATAGTGGGAAGTAAATGTTAGCTTACTATCCAGATGCACCCCCAGATCTCTCACCTCCGATACTCTTTGAAGTTTCTGATTATTAAGATAGTAAGTATGAACTATTGGATTAGATTTCTTAGTATATGTAATTGTACAGAATTTTTATCCAACTTCAAAAAAGGAGGAGGTTCTCAATTCAACTGTATTTTTTTTGTATGTATGTTACACGATAACTCCGGTATTTGTGAACTGATTTTCATGATTTTTTTTGTTGGAAAGAGGGTACCTCCATAGTGGTGCCATTTAATTTTGAAGAAAATCATCCACCTCTAAGCGCATGAAGATTCGTTTTTATAAATAGCGCCTAAATTTTATTATAAGGAGCAATTACTTTAATGGTTCATTTTGCTATTCTCCAATTCAAGGCGTTTTTCTCTTTCAGTATACTTTGAGTAGTGAGAAACGATTTTTATTATCTCCTGTGTCAAGTGCCGTATAGTGGCGAACTAGGAGATGAATCCGGGTTTGCGCACTTTCCGGTAACCGATTTCAATAAAACTTGATAATTATATGTAATTCCACGTACTTTTGAGGTGGGTTTTTTAGTACTCTGTACTGAGATTATTCCATATTAAGATATAGTTTATTTTTAATACAGTAATCGCTTACTCTACCAATGTCTTTCATTATTCCACCAAATTTTTATCATTTGTATTACAGTGTAATAGCATTTTTTAATTAATTATTAAATTAATAACTGTTTCAATGTTTTTTCAAAGTCTGAGTCTTTCTATGTCCCTAATAATGAGGACTTGAAGCTACTAGGTTTAGATTGGTAACAGTTGTTTGTAAAGTTGTCTCGCCAGGGCCGGTAGCTGTGAAGGTATCTAACTGGGTGATAAAACTTTCATAGATTTCTCATAGATGGCGCTACGACTAAAAAGTCGTTGAAAAACCAAATACAAAGACACGACAACAAGCACATAGAAAAATTCGTGAGGTACGCTGGTTCGTTCCGTGGCTTAGTTGGTATAGCGTCTGACACGGTATGCTAGAAGACGTCGGTTCGAATCCGGCCGGATCGCAGGATTTTTTTCTGAGTGTTCGATCTTTGTATTAACGAACAATATAACAAACTAGTGGAGTAATTTCACAAAAAATAACTGAATATCAATTCAATAAAAAATGTTTGTTAATATTATAATACATTTCTTCTGTTGTGTGGAAATATCTTTAATGTCTGAACAGTTGCCCCACAAAATGAATCCGTAAATAATATAAATAGTAAATATGAGATTATTGAATAAGCATAATTATCATAGTATGCCGACAGAGAAGTTTCAAAATTGGTCACTCTGTTCAAATATCTCAGAGCGTAAATGAATGACGACAATTTGCGAGCCGGTGTTTGTATATGTTGCTTCGAAGTTATAGTAGAGTCGATTGCAATTCCTAATAGAGCTGTAGAACGTACAGTTTGTAAAGGTTCTTATGTTTACATGAAATTTGTAATGCATTCCTTTGAAAAGGTCCAAGCTCTAATGTGTATATTAATATAATTAATAAAATTAGAAAGGTGTTTTGCATTGGAAGTGAGCTCTTTCTTCAGATGTGAAGTCTGATGAAGTCTAATTATAAATGGATTTTTATTTAAATGTTAAATCACAAAGTTCTTTTTTTATAATATCAAGTAGTTTTCCTAATAAAAATGACTGTAGTTGAATGTAATTAATTTGTCAATAAAAATATCAAAGTTCAGATTGGGCTAGATGACGTGAGACCTGGCATTTTTTTACATTAAATGTATGCAAGTATTATATTTGACACTTAAAGTCGCTATTATTGAATATATGTATTGTATAACTATTGAATACATAGAAATGATTATTTAATGTGCAGGTGCCGATCTACTGCTTGTCGCCCCCAATTAATATGGTAAAGGAGGCAAGCGGGCGCGACTCCCCGGCTGAGTGGTCGGAGCCGGTTGAGGGCGGCGCCGAGGTGACGCTGCGCCTGCGCCTTTCGCACTCCTGCCGCGACATCGACCTCGCCGTTTACTCCAAGCACACTATCGCACAATGCAAGAACAAGCTGCATGTGAGTGTTATAATGTTCCAAATTGTTTCCGAACTGAATGTGTGGCCCCATATGGCGTGGTACATTGTGTACTAAAGGCGGTGGATAATTATTAACGGAAATTTGTTACAAGAGGTTTGTAATTTTTACAATACAATGTTTTGCATCATATTTGCGAGGAAATAGATACATCGGCAATTTGTTTTGTATGAATAAATCTTCACAACACAACGTTTACGGATTTTGCGAACTATGTTATAAAAGGCACAGACCCGAAAATACATATGTAAATGCGCGCGGTCGACTTCCTCTGCATGTCATGACACTGTTTACAAGCAAGTGTGATGAAAATATTTTTACCCGTGCAGGCGCAAGAGAACATCGAGCCGTGGCGCCAGCGGTGGTTCTACGGCGGCAAGCTGCTGGGCGACCGCCTGGTGGTGGAGGAGGCCAAGGTGACGCCGGGCTACGTGGTGCAGGTGATCGTGAGCTCGGAGCCGCAGCCGCCCAGCTAGTGGCCGAGGCGCGCCCCCTCGCTCACCCGATTATTCTAAAGCCGTTTCAGCCGCATGCTCGTCTCCCGCGGCCGCCTTGGCATCGCACCACGAACGCAGGAAGGCAAATTGTAGTGTATATTTCGTAACATAAACCTGCGGATCATATTCGATCGTTCTACGTGTCATATTGTAAATGGAAATAGACTCGAATAATTTCTATACAGTACATAACCGATTGTCTATATTGTTGTTTACGAGCCGTTTCATATATGAACTGGAAACGGTCTTGTAGTGTCGGTTTTGTATACTGGGATTGTGGAATCTGCAGCGACAGAGCACCGGCTGTTTATTAGGGAGTACGAAGCCTTACGTAATGACGAAGCCCCAATCTATGTAGGATAATTGCTGTACTGTGAATCGACTGGGAATTAAATAACTAATATAAGGACTATTCAATTATAATTATGCATTATAGCGTTTGCCGTAAGCAGGTCGTATGTATGTGTGGACCACTCGGTAGGCGGCGCTGTTTTGGCGCACGAGTGGGGCGGGACTCGATCGGCGGACGCGACTGCCATGTATTGTGATGTGAGAACTTTCTTTATACTTACCGGTTATTGTAACTATTGATTATTTTTATTATAATCTACCGCTAGATTTAATACGCGCGTTGATGCTTGTCGCGAACTGGACGTTTTACACTGTCACCGAGTGTGGAGAGATAGAGCGGTGGATCCGTTTGACGGCATTGCTTAAAATATATTTTAATTTGTTGAACCTAAAGTAAAGGATAGTTTGCGGGCAATTTATCAACATTTACTTGTACAACAGCCTTATTTAGCCAGCAAAAATGACAATTTGTCGATAGCTATGACGTCTGGCGGAATGACCGCCGCTGTATAATGATGAAATATATGTTACGTTGGTATTTGGTACTGTTGTGCCCTTATTATATTCTGTAGCTTGTACTAAATTAACGTTAAATTGCACACGAGTTAACGCGCAAAATTATTATAAAATTAATTGTTGTTAAGAATTAGACGATGTACCGTGTATTGGAAATTATTTTACAATAGTTCCCTCCCGAGGTGTAAATTGCTTATCTTCTATTATTATAAGTTGTAAAACTAATATCCGGTCGTGTATAATTTTGCTGTGAATCCGTTTAAGATTCAATTTGGACTTTGTTTAGGGTATACCCGTGAACTGGACAATTGCGGGACTTTTAAAGGCACTAACACATAGTTTTTAATTTTTGAAAAGCGGAGTTTCTAAATGTATTTTATATATGTAATAATGTTGGGTAGCTAGACACAGGAAGTGTGATTTGTGATTAATAATTTTAAACAAAATTCACAATAATATGTATCATTTCGAATGACGACTTTAGGAATGATCAAGTCAACCGTTTATCTACTTCGCACAGATTCGAGAAAAGACCATATCAAAATAACAAGCCAAACCAGTTTAATGCGACGTCATGTGTTGTATGAAATCTTAATATTCCACTTCTTCACTCCGTAGCTTACATTTAACAGATTTATCTGTAATACTTTTCTACTTATAGACAGACTATATACCCATATAATTCTCGTGTCACCGCTACTATAACATCGTCTTTTCTCTGTCCATTCCGCTATGAGCGAAGTCTGATATAATAATAGACAGTAAATGTGTTGAGTGACTACATGTTGTTTGCCCACGGTTTGCTTGTGTCCTCCACACACGTGTTCGATTCGTTTACACCTAGTTTTACGTGTTGATATACTCAGGGCAGTGACAATTTTTGTATGGAGTTGGAAAATTTGCTGAAGTAATTTCGTAAATTGTAGCTCATTCTAAGGATGCAGTGGGGAATTCAAAGTAAGCAATGTTGTGCTATTCAATACACTGCACTCTTAACCGTACTGGACTATGTTTACACGCAAAATACCGCGTAACGTTCTTGTCAGAATGAGATTATTCGTATCAACCGCAAAGTTTACTGTAAATAACGTAAATATTTACGATAAATAAGGCGCAGATTACATACAGCTATGATAATTGTATAATTTATTTATATTAAGTTCTCGTTTACCAGCATTTACCATTCGGACTGAAAGTCCCCAGTGCCAACGTTAAGCAGCGTCCTTATACTTACTCGGTCTAATGATCAAGTTATTTATAAGGAATTTCTATAATTTAGTACTAACTCTTTAGGTTAGCTCGTATTTATATTGTATATTGAAATATATTGGGAAGAGGCTTATTTATACATTTATTTTTCTAAACTCGGTCAATTTTGTATTGACGTTTAACCTTTTGTTACTTTTGAAACTATATTGTTTAAAATTTTAAATCTTAGATACATTTTTACGTTAGCGCTTACGTATTTGTTTTGTAACATTTCTTATTTCTCTAGATCTCGATACAACTCGACAATGACATATCTAAAAAGTTTTACGTGGAGTTTAAAATTTATTTACACTGTTGAAGATGTCAAATTCTGGATTTTAATTGGATAAGAAATTGCAGCATGGTGCTAAAGGTATTACTTTTCATTGTCTTAAACCTGTCATGTGTGGCATGTTGAACATACGAGGGATGTATTCCAAAAAAAAATCATTCACCGGCCATCTGCGTCTCGAAAAATGTATTTTATTGCATGAAAGGCCTGCTCTGTGTACGTTTTTATTCAAACTTCGATGACGCCCATCGCCCTCGGTATATTAATTGCCTAATATAAATTTAATATTAAAGTATGAATATATGGATTTTTTTTAATTGATATACAAACCACTCTCGGAAAATGCTCTTAAACTTGTGTATATTAGGACGATAATTCATCAGTAGCCAGGCCTTCTATGTATAACGTAGCTATAACTGTTTCTCATTGTATATTGTACACTTCACTGCGTTATGTGCACTACACTTACCTATACGGGTTACATCCAAAACATTGGGATCTTCTACCGAGAATGCTCATTACTCTAGAAAATTTTGTATATATCTTGTATTTGCATTAGCTTGTGTTAGTTGATGGCGGTTTTTGAGCTTTTGAAGATACGGTTGTTCTGTAAAAAGGGTTACATACTTTTCAGATTCCTGGTAAGATGTAATGTTTCACTATCAAATACAACTTCATCAAAAAAGTTCTTAAACTGTATCACTTCATTTTTTAGTTTGAAATATAACTAAATAAATATTTTTTAAATTGTTAAAAAATTTTGTTGTAAGGTATATTTCAGGCACTTAGGAAATAAATTTATTTTTAAGAATGCATGGGATTAATAACGTTATCGATTCAGTATTCAAAAGTCAATCCCAACTATATTATAGATACTGTTCAAACACATACGTCCCGCTGCCTGTCACAGGTCTCTAAAGCTAACACGGCGACACGGTTGCTGCTTTAATAAATGTACACAGCAAAAGCGTTAACCGCCATTCCATCTTGAACTTGTTATAATATGTGTTGCTTCACCATCCTCGAAATACGTTAAGGTGCCTACAGATTTGCTCCATTTTTTTTTAGATTTGCTCCATTTTGACGATTAGTACGACAACAGACGATTGACATCGTATATCTTGCCGATCGACATCGTGTTATTTTAATTAGGAGTAGGGGCCTACATAGGGGATTGAAGGTTAAAGCCTTGATATTTAATTATTGCTAACAGGCGACAATAGCTATCGATAAAATCGAGCAAATCTGTTAGCTGACAGATCTCATCGATCGTCAGAATACAATATATCGAGCGACAATAACGATCTCAAAAATCGAGCCACGATACTTCCTACTTTATAGATGGTCTTTGAACCTTTGAACACCCGTCAGGTCGGCGGAACTGTATTCAAAGAGCCTCCATACGAGCTTATAACTACTGTGACGTATCACGTGACGTAAACGGCGCCAGCACACCTCAATTGTTTATGAGATTTATTTATTCTATTTTACGTTTACGAATTTGAATATCACTAATCAGTGATCAAACAAATACGTGTTAAGAGAATAGTGGGACATTATTGAACTAAATATTTATCGAGTACATAAACACTTGGAAAGTGTGTCAAATGATATATTGTTTTTATACAATGTCTTACCGGGACCCCGATTAAGAACTCTTCGATATTTTAACTGAATCATTCGGTTGGATATCGTTGTCGACTCTTCTCGCTCGCTTTCGGAGCTATTCAGAAAATTCCGAGTTAAACGTTCGTCTTGGATTCGGATACGATATCGTTATCCAACAGCGTTTATGGAGTTAGTCAGGGAGTAGATAGAAAAATGAAAATTCTTTTATAGACATTTTTCAGACTTTAGAGGCCTAAAATATAGGAATGCATTAGTCTCGCATTAAAATGAATTAATAAAATTGAACAAAATCTACATTTTATTTAAAATAATAAGAGATTTCCATATTACATTCTTGCTTTGTAAACAATAGGACGTTCGGTAACTTTGTTCTGAATAACGTTTGTAGCCTTTGCCGGTCGAGAAGTTCTAGTGATTGTACGGGTGTGATGTCATTTCGGTTCGGTTTCGAATACGACAGCTTGAAAGAAATCGGTCAACAACCGAGTTATTGTAAGGTTCTGAATCGACCCTCAGGTAACGTTGACACTCTGGCGCCAGCTTCGTAAAACAAACATATGGTTTTCTCTAATTGACACCGCCTTGTTTGCGCTATCACTCCATGTATTATTGAATACTGATTTGGTAATCAACAACTGTTACACGTCCCATGCTTCAAGCCTCCTCTAGGAGGTTTAATAATGTCGAAAGAAAATACATATTAGTGAATTACTCACATGGTGGCATTACTCCAGTTATTGGCACGTTAATGATTTAACAAATACATTTTGAAAATTAAATACTTGTGCTACTGCGCCACCATTTGGGCCCACCAACTGAAGATGGTGTAAAAATATGTCAGGACAATAGCATAATTTAATATTGTCTACCTAATTTTAACATAAGAACTGCGCATTTATATTCTACGAGTAAATTGGAGGAAGAAGATTATGTATCAACATTTGACCTATATATATTACGTCTTTGCAAGTGCAAGGCATGTGAACGTACTAATTTGTCTCAAAATTTTCGCAGTGGAATATCGTGTTTTGTAATTTGTAACCACTCAGTATATTCCACTAGTTCACAAAAGAAGTTATTACTGTTTATAGCCTTAAATAACCTATGCATTATAACAAATTAATGTGGAATTTGGATTACGCCTGTATTGTTAAATCTAAGTTGTAGATAGATAGGTATTGTAACAAATTCACTGCGCCCGCGCCGCTGCCCGACCACCGACGCCCTCGTTGGCGCCGGACGACACTTTGTATATTTTGACTCATTACCTCGGCTGCTGGTTATGTACACTATTCGAGTACTTTTATCGAACTAACTTCATGGAAAGATTATAGTGGATATTCCCTAAAAAATATTCGAGCAATAAATCTCTAGTTCAATGTATCAACCAGCAACGAACATTGTGTTGAAGGTAAATAGATTTCGGTGTTGCTGTGAAGTAGATTTGTGAGGCCTAACTTTTAAGTTGCAAGGCGTTGCTGCAAATAATACTACGCAACGGGTGACGACATAAACAGCAGTCGAGCCGCTAACGCCTGTCCATTTCACCGTAGCGGTGAGTTCGCCATTGTAATGTACGTTTTTATACGTCACTACGTATATTAGAATTACAAAAATAATAAAACGTTGTGTACTAACTTGTATATACGTGTTGTAGAAAGAAATCCTAATAAATTTTGCGAAGACGTCAGGAAATGAGTTGAGCAAAAAACCGGCCTGCCAATAGTTTATTCTATCCTGTAGGCACACGTTCTTAGTAGATCTGAAAGTATATGTTCATACGGCGAATCCACTGCAGCGGCGTCAGTTTGTGTACATAAACGTGGTTTTCAGTGTGTAAGCAATAATAGCATTTTAAATTTTCAAATAAAATCACTTTGTGAATAACATTTTACTGTGTATTTCATTGACTGCTCTACATACAGAACTAGTTAACTAATAACATCCTTATACTATAACTAAATGCAAAGCGACTTACGTTCAGACGCGCGTCTAACGTTTGTAATACTGCGTCCGTCATTTCCGAGCGTCCCTTTATGTTCGGAAATTTAAATAAAAAAACTTAAGGGACGTTCATATTAATAGACACAGAGTCCGGTTTAGTGTAAAAAAATATATATAGTCGTCGTTTCTTAAATTTAAAAAAACATTTAGAGATTTCCGGCGCTTTTTCCTGTCGCGCGCTACAATCGAAGTCAGGATTTTGTATATAATTTTTATCGACATGCGTCGTCCCGCACCGCACGCGAAGCGACGATCTCGTCCCAGGAAAAAGCTCCAACTCGTCAGCCCGAAGCCACTCGGGCGCTACTTGGGGACGTACTTGAGCAGTTTGATCTCGTGCGTGAGCCAGATGGCCAGCGACAGCAGCAAGAGCGAGCCCGACTGGTGGCTGGCGGCCAGCGGCGTCGGCACGTAGTGCAGCAGAGTCGCGACGCCCAGGCCCACCTGCGGAGAGGACACCGGGGGACG